ACTTGTGATGAAGGTTGGAAGTCACTTCTTTATATATTTCTTTTCTCTTTATTATATTCTTCTCTTTCTTTCTTTTTCTTGTACTTTTTACTCCTTTCTATTCTCTTTTAAGTTTAGTTAGTATCAGATCTTACTATTATAATAAAAATTCTTAATAAAATTACATACGAACTCCTAAAATCTTCTGCGAGCAGGGCTACTACTGAAAATTCTCGGAATTTAAGTCTATACAGATGGCAGACACCCAGGTTAGAAAAAGTTGGCTTAATGTATTGCACAAACCAGGTTAAAGGAAATCATGGCTTAGGGCAATGTGCAAACCAGGACTATGACTATTCAATTACAAGATCTAACGATATTGTGGCCTCTCTTTTTTTTTTTTTACAGGTAGTCCTCGTTTAGCAACTACAATTGGGACTGGCAAGTCAGTCGTTAAGTCAAGCAGCCACTAAGTGAAACCATAGCTGTGCTTATGATCTTACTTCACCTTTCCTTTGCTTTGCAGACCTGCGAAGGTCGAAAATGTGAGGTCATAAAGTTACTTTTTCATCACTGTTGTAACTGGAACGGTCATTAAATGAGGTAGTTGCTAAACAAGGACTACCTGTATTAGCTTTTTAATCTAATTTATAATATAAATTTACTACATAAATAAATAAAAGGTCACTTTTTGAATCATCTTCAGGTTTTCTCCTAAGCAATGACTTAAGATGTTTTGCTGCCTGTGACAAAGGAAAAGAGAGTATCTAAGCAAGTCAGCTAGATTTGCTTCACCTCTGGTAATAAAATATCAACTTCTATTACAGCAGAAGGCAGGCTAATTCAGGGGACACTGAGTAGGCTGTATGGTGCAAAGAGTTCTGTCTTCTCAAACCTCGCATCTGTTCCCTTCCCCAATAGCTACAAATTGAGGGGCTGATTCATAGTCACTCTCATTGATAGGGCCAGACTTGTTTATCTTCTTTTCAGTAGCAATGACGATAACTATTTGGATTTGCCCAGTATTATTCTGGTTGCAGTTCCTGCAATCTTTTATTTTCTCAGGAGCTTATGAGAACAACAGTCTCCAAATATCTGTCTCTCATGAACCAAATAAAAGAATTCTGGCTTTTGTAGGATCCATTACAAAGAGTGACCCAGAAATACTCTTTGCTGCTTTGCATTATGCAGTTCCCCAGCGTAAACTTCTAATTCAGTCTTGCCAACTGACCCACAAAACTTTTGATATGTTTGCCAACTGTTTTTTTTTTTCGTCTTGCAAGATCTTTAACACTTTTGTGGCAAGGAGAAATTAATTAGGAGAGGCAGGAAAAATGCTCTACCTGTCAAATGTGTAGCTCTAACATAATTATTAAAGGCTCAAGAGACTTATTTTTAAAAAAGCCTTCCTTATTTTAATACCAACATGTAGTTTGTAGTCTTCACTTGGATTCATAATATTGAAAAGAAATCAACCATAAAGCTAATTAAGAGTGTGATGTGCTTTTCTTGATTCTACACACCATATGAGAAGCAAATAAAATGGACAATTAAATGATAAAAACCTTGCTCCTAAGAAGCTAATTATTATTTAAATACCTCCCACTAAAAACAGCACATCCTTAACAACCATAGGAAATGGCTCTGTTCTGGATCATAATTCAACTACACTTAATTCCAAAAATATTAGTACCACATTGTTTGCCCTTGGAAAAGAACATTCATAAAATTTGTTTTTAAATAAACACATTTTTCTAGTTGTAATGGTTCTTTTTAGACAATTTGGAAAATGATGGTTGTTTATCACTGAGCTTCCTACGACAGCCCTAACTTACTCTAAAGTTGAACTGCATTACAATAAAGAACTAATGCTGTTAACTTCTTTTCACCATCCTCCAGGGAACAAAGCAGCAACTCTCATTTTGCTATAAAGCCACAGTGCCTCCCCCAGCTACAATGGCAAAATGCAATTTCTGTCCGAGGCTGATTTTCGGAAAGGAGATACCACCTGCTTTATTTCACAATATGGGTTAGAGACAAAGATGAACTTTAGCAATTGATGCTCACAGCTGGAAGTATTTTTTAAACTTATTTCTTATGTGTTATGATCCTGTGGTAGCTCATATTAAATAATAACACACTAAAATATAACATCAATGGCAATTTATTATTATTATAAGCAAATAATTGAAAGATCTGCTAAGTAATAAGATGCCAGAACTTAGCCTAAGTAAGGTGTGCCTTGAAAATCTCTGATAATGTTATCTCCCTCATCTCAGAAAACATGGCGTCTAGAGCTCCAGACAGGACTTCTAAAGACAATCTTAGCATCTGGGTAAATTAATGCAACTCCCCAAATTGCAAACTGGCTCTGAATGGGGAAGTGCCACCCTACCCCATCCAGAACCAAAGGTGAAACATCTCCAGAACTGGATCCCAGCCCCGTCCCCCCCCCAAAACCCATAGCCACTCATTCTTGCTAAGGTTGAGTCAGAACCTGTATTTCTCCATCCAGATCCTCATAGCCTCCAAATACTGGGACAGAACCAAGACTGCTTCACCTGGGACATCCAAGGGCAGATATGTATAATTGAATATCAGAAGGCCTTACTCACCAGTTTTATGTAGATATTAAACAAAAACAGGGAAAGAATGGGCACTTCACAAAAGAAAGACCTAGGACTAGATCTTCCCCTTCCCCAACACCAACTGGAAACAACCTGAGAAAGGATGAGGACTACCCCAACACAATGCTTCCCAGTCCCTTCAACCAATCCAAAAGGAAGCTGTTGTCAATGATACCAGCTGAGAGATCAAAAAGAGCCATGTGGGATGCACTTCCCCCACCCTGGGCCTGCCATACATCATCAAAAACTGTGACTAATGCAGTCTCAGTACTATCTCCTGGCCTGAAACCCAACTAAAAGGGGTCCAGATAATCCATTTCTCCAAGGTCCTAACAAAGCAACCTTCCCTAACAAAGCAAGATTGGAGAATGGACAGAAATTGTCCAGCTCCGTTGGAACCAGCAATGGCTTCTTGAGGAGCTGGTGGACTACTGCTTCCTTCAAAGATGGTGGAATCCCACCCCCTCAAGATGCACTTACCACCACATGGAACCAACCACATATCACTTCCCAAGAGGCCTTAACCCATTAGGAGAAGCATGGGTCTACAGCACAGGTAGACAAGAACCTAGGACCCTATCCAGTTCTTCAGGACCAACAGGCTCAAACTCTTCCCAGTTGAGCCAGATCTTGCCTGAATCAACTCCATGGGACCTGCATAACAGGTGTCCAACTCAGGGTATATCTGAATTACTTTATCTGACAGATGCTGAGAATAATCCTCACAGTGCTCTTGCAGGTAACCTCCTGGTTTCTATTTATGCAGAAGGGACAGATTACCTAAAATGAAACAGCTGGATGGCAGGATGCAGACATGGTCAGAACAGAAAAACACACTTTGCCACTCTTATTGCTATGAGGTAATCCCTAATAAAGGAGCCAGTTTGGTGCAGTGGTTAAGGCATCAGGCTAGAAACCAGGAGACCCTGAGTTCCAGTCCTGTCTTAGGCACAAAGCCAGCTGGGTGACCTTGGGCCAGTCACTCTC